TGCGTGGGATCCTTGATGAGTTGATAGTAGGTTTACTCTTCTTCTCCTTATAAGTTATATTTTAGCTATTAGTAGTTTGAAATTTAGTGTTAATTTTCACCACGTTTTCTTGCCCTTCATTTGTAAATGTGGGTAAATTGTACGTAGGAGTTAGTAGAAAGGTAGATGGATATATTAGATGGAATAGAATAGGTAGACTGCTTGATAATTAGACAGGCAGATAAATGAATGGTGAATAGATGAATACCTAACACAGAGAAATTATGTAATGTTCTATACACAGATGTTAATTCTTGCAAGCGCAGTTGTTCTTGATTTGATATCTAATCGCTGTATTGCGTTGCAGATGCCCCTATCGTGTAGGTTCTACAAGGAACGATTTCCAGAGATAGAGGATGTCGTCATGGTGAATGTGCGATCCATCGCTGAGATGGGTGCATACGTCAGCCTCCTCGAATACAACGCCATCGAAGGCATGATCCTGCTGAGCGAGTTGTCACGGCGACGCATCCGCTCGATAAACAAACTGATCCGTGTCGGACGCAGCGAGTGTGTAGTCGTCATCCGCGTCGGCAAGGAGAAGGGCACGTAGTCTACTTTTTCTCTCTGAGTCTGTACCCCTCCCTCTCAGTCGTAGTATAAGGAGAAGGGCAAGTAGTTTTGTTTCTCTAGCTCACTTGTAGCCCTCTCCATCAGTCTTTAGTTGTGTGTGATGTAGACCATTATTAATGCAAGCAGTATAGTTTCTGCGTTAGTAGGATCGGTCATAACATTAGTTCTAATGCTGACTGGATCTCTGCCCGAGATAAAAACTCAAGGATCCGCCAATGCTGACTATTGAAGATTTTTTGTGCAGGTTACATAGATCTGTCAAAGAGACGAGTGTCACCAGAGGAAATAGTCAAATGCGAAGAAAAATTTGCAAAAGCAAAAGCAGTAAGTGCATATGTATATATCTCTCCATCTGTAATATATATATATATAAATTGGGAATATTCTTCAATAAATTGCATATAACATTACATACAAATAGGAAAAAAACCCATCTCAAATGTATAAATAACCAAAAACTATAACTCCCGTTACTGTGTGCTAATCTTATGCGCTAGCTAGTGATTGCCTAAGATTTACGGTAACGAGCTGTGTCACGGCCTGACGGTGAACAGGTGAACAGCATCCTGAGACATGTCGCTGAAATCTGTCAGTATGAGACTGATGAACAGCTGGAGGATCTATACAACAAGACCGCCTGGCACTTTGAGGAGAAGTATAACCAACAGTCGAGTTCCTACGACGCCTTCAAGCATGCCGTAACGTGAGTCATTTTCAGCTACCCATCGTATTATCACAAGAAACCTGCTTCATATAGAATAAAACTATTACTGTACACAATCTATTATGCGAAACCCCTGGGACCAGACACGTTTCGGAATTCACAATTTTTTGGATTTCGGAATGGTAAGTACAGTACAGATATACATACCGTATATCCTGCAACTGGGCAGTACTAAAACCCAAGTTTTCAAGAGGCCAAGTGCTGTACTGGTCCAGTACAATATGTATGAGTAATGCCAAATACATTAATATTCATCGGGTCGAGTTTGGGCACCAAACGCGAGCTTTGGTGTGCAGACGACCCCACGAAAAACTCTTGGTTTTCAGAATTTCAGATAATAGATTGTGTACTGCATAAGAAACATCTGTATTGGCAGATAGATAGAGAGCTTGGTGTTGCCTCACGATGCTGTCATGTCATAGAGAATATTATATAATCATTAAATTCGAAGTCGTTTCATTTTTTCCCGGTGTAAAAATTCTGTCCTCATTTATGCTAACCACTATTCATAAGTTGAGAATATTTGAGATGTTGTTTCACGATCCGAATTAGGAGGGATGGGGAGCATGGCATAGCAAGGCATGTGGATGTAGCTGGTTGTCAGTGCAGGATTTACGATGCGTGTTTGTTCTCTCGATTCGCAGGGACCCATCGATATTGGACGAGTGTGAGTTAGACGAGGAAACCAAGTCAGTCCTTCTTGCCAACATTCGGCGTAGACTGACGCCGCAGGCCGTCAAAATTCGCTCGGGTGAGTCTGCAGGCATGACCAAACATTAATGGTACCAGTCTCGCACCGATTAGTACTAGCTGCCAGCGACAAACACAATACTTGGCTAGTTAGTAATGAGTCGATTCAAGGTAAGGCTGTCCAAGCGTTCCCGAATCAATGAGGTGGCATTTTTACAAGGCTGTTGGCATACTGGTAGCAGTGAAATCCATCATGATACTAATCCAGTAATTGCTGCAGCTGAAGTATCGCCACCGTTCTCTGTAACGTGCTTTGGTAAAAGCACGATGAGTAATTTTGTGAGCTCATGCCCACCAAGGAGCTAAATATAACAAGGAGAGGAAGCGCCGCCATATCTGGCCCAAATTTGGGTTCGGCAGAGACCCTAGAACAGATTAGTGTTCTATTGTCTCTGGGTTCGGTCTGCACAGCCGTTTCAGCTGATTATGGTCCATAGATGGCGCCCTTGAGGCGAAAAGTGCACAGCCAATCCACTTCCTCTCCTTGTTATATTTGGCTCCTTGATGCCCACGACTTCTGTTTCAGACGTCGAAGTGTCTTGCTTCCGATATGAGGGCATTGACGCTGTCAAGACTGCTCTGAAGAAAGCGTTGGCATTGTCGACGGAGGAAATGCCGGTCAGGGTAAGTGCAGCCAGCATTGTATCCCCAGTACGACACGTGTGCACGTGAATTCAGTTGCACTCGCTCTCACACGCTGACCGTTGACTTTCCCGTTTGTGCAGATCAATCTCATCGCGCCTCCCTTGTACGTCGTCACGACGACAACTCTAGAGAGAGCCGATGGCCTAAAGACGCTCACTGAAGCTGTCGAAAACATTAAGGAAAGCATAGAGGGCAGTGGCGGACACTTCACTCTTAAACTGGCCGTGAGTATCTCGTACATGCATGCTTTCTCTGAGTCCTACAGGGTTCATGCAGGTCTTGGAATACCTTTTGAAAGTTCCGAAAATAGTGCGTGGTCATCGAAATTCCAGAAAATTTAGCATTTCCCATTTTGTCTGAAAGGGAGCAAATTTGCTACGTGCGATTGTTCATTAACTGATCACTGATTGAGAGACGTGGATTATTCAACTACAATCTCGCATTTACGGAAAGTGGACCTTTTGAATTTTGGGAAAAACTCTTGGCAAAGCATTTTGCCTTGGGTGTACAAACCTTGTACTAGTTCCCTATATTCAGTAACCGTTCCACATCCAACTGTAGTGTACCCCACCCTTCCCCCACGCAATCCATGTGCCATGTCTGCACTGGTCCATCCCTCCCTTCGCAGGTTCATCGTGCGATAGGTCAGTGCTTCTTAAACTATTTCAATGTCATTCACCCTCATGTCACTTAATCACAAAATTTCATTCACCCCCGACTAAATTTCTTTTCTGCGTTTGACCTAGTTTCATTCACCCCAAAATAATTTCATTCACCCTTGTGTGAACCATTCATCTGTTTAAGAAGCACTGTGATAGGTGTCTTGCGTTGTCGCTGCAGCCAAAGGTGGTGACGGACACGGAAGAGATTGAGCTGGCTAAGAGGCTCGAGCAGCTGGAGATGGCCAACACGGAGGTGGACGGCGACGTTGACTCCTCAGCCGACGAGGACGCCGGCACCGACAGCGAGCGAGAGGTCAAGGTCGACGCGGGAGACGGCGAAGCGAAGGTCGACGCGGGAGACGGCGAAGCGAAGGTCGACGCGGGAGACGGCGAAGCGAAGGTCGACGCGGGAAACGGTGAAGCGAAGCCCGTCGAGGCATAGAGGGCGCCACTCATCGGTGATCCCAGGGGGGGCGCGGCAAGCGTCACGCTACGTGCCGCTGGGTCTGTAACCGGGAATGTTCCGAGTGGCATTCGGAGAGCCTTGGATAATTACGATTGTTTGACAGTCAAACCCGAGGAAGCGGACACATGTAGAATGGTTGTCTGTCTGAAGGATGCTATTGGCATTTGCTTCGACGTGCAGTTATACACTGATAACACTTCTATTGAACGAACAGCTGTCTGTAAAAGACGCTTCCAACGTTTACCTTGAATGACCCTTCTATACAGGTTGACTGTACTGAACGACTGAATGCCACAAGGACCATCTACGGTCAGAATTCGGCGGCAACGTATCAGGCGTGCATGTCTTCTCATGGGTGTAGATGCGGTGTATTTTTGAACATCATGAATCAGTGGTAACATGAATCATTGTTGACACCATGGCCTGGTATTACCTATACTTTTTAATAATACTGTGGCTGCACTCAGATCTGAGCAGGCAGGGTCTTATTAAATTGCAGAGGAAGAGTTTGCTAACAGGTAATGGAAAAAGCAAGCTAGATACCAAGGCTATGGATTCATTGGTCAGACACGAATTCTTATTGAAGAAAGATGGGCATTTACGTGTGAAACTATCATGTTAATGTCCGAGCTATTTCTGCCTGGCATTAAAAGTTACAAGTAGTGCCACCTGGTGTGCGAAATATTGAGTGAACTGTCAACTACCGGAATGGCGGAAAATCATATTAAAATATATCGTCGGTGGAAAACTGTTTGTGCTATGGTTATGATTCTTTAGTTGACTTCAGAAAGATGGACAACAGCCAACGTAACGTGCATGAATTTCAACACAACTCGAAATGAATAACATATAATTAAAAAGAACATTGCAATTAAAAAGTAATAACGACAATATACCTTTATTATGTGAGATTATTATTACACCCATAAATTACTAATATACAAATTATACTTTACTTGAAAGCACCTCCTTTAATACATATTTCTCGCGTGTACATTGGTCTCGTAAAATAAGACTGGGTATCTAGTTGCGACACACTGCCTGCAACACTAATATCATGGAACCATGAAGTATTATTACCTCCAGTGTGAGCTGATAACATGGTGAGAGTAGACCGTTATATTGTGTGTGTGTGTGTGTAAATGAATTTTTAGATTGATTTTTTTTACCTGCTACCAAACCTTGGCCTATCGACTCAGAATGATGCAGTGAATGGGGGTGTGACTGAGAGGGAGAGTTGTGAATGAGAGAAATAGTGAGGAGAAGTGAATATGAGACATACGGGGAAGGGGAGGGTTAACTGAGTGGCACATTTACTTTTGATATGCGAGATTGGTAGATATATTGTACATGTACTATGCACACATACACACGTGTCATTGCCTTCATTAGATTTGCTCTGTCTTCTTGTTGTCATAGCAATGGGCCAGCTTGTCACAGCCTAGCCCTGCCTTCCTTCCTACCTACCACCCGTCCCATAGTCACAGTAGTGGACAATCTGACACAGTCCAGCCCTACCATCCTCCCTATCATATGTCAAATACTGGACAGTGACTCTCCCCACACGTTTCCCACGTACATGGCTGGCATCCGCTACCCACGTTTTGCAACTTATCACATTACACACACATACTTTACTATGAAACTCTCTACGCACTGGTGAACCACTAAAGGTGAAATTTACACAATCTACAACAGGATGTATATAATATATATATATACATACAGCACAAACCAAACATGAGGCGTTGTTGCCTCTACCCATAGACAATGCGTGTATCACCATAATCAATGGAAGAAAGATGCAACCTCACGTGGGCCCTCACCACCAGTGCAACACCCTCAAGTCATCTATGCTGCAGTGTGGCTTCACTTCTGTCATCCAGTTATATTAGGCCCACTATGTAGTTAGATCCACTACAAATAAAAATCAGCTTTTGGTCACGTAGAGGGCAACAGTTGTAACCACAACCACGAATGCATTCTTCTTATGTATATTTACATTATTTATTTATGTGTGTGCGTGCGCGTGTTTGCATGTATACTCTTTAATATTTTATTCTCTGCGCGACCACTCGAGATTTCGACATCACAGAGTTGTGACTATCTGGCACGTGACAACGCGTAATTGTGACATCACGAATGAACGACCACATAAGCTCATAAATGGGATCTCGTCATTAGAAAAAAAAACTACCTGAAACTGCTACGCCGAGTCTTCGATCAACCTTCCTTGTACAGACATCACGCTCTTCTCAATCGCACAGCAGATGGCGCCACCGCCGTGAAGCTCCTCACAGCAAGTGGCAGCATTAAGATCAACGCATCGACTAAAACACCACGTGTGGCTACATGGACTAGATAAATAATAACCAGCAACTAACCGAAGCGCTGGCGGCAAGAGGTCGACATTAAACAAACGTTTTGCAATTGATAAGGTGAATGGAAACGAACCCAAATGGTTGATCCAGTTGAAACTCAAGTAAAGGACAGGTTGAGGATGACTAAACACTACTGCTGCTATCAGCCTTCTGTGGCTTCAGTTATACCTCATAGTGAAAGTGCTCGGCATAGAACAGGCAGACAGTGAAACAAGGGAAAGGCTTTCTGACACTATTTCGCATGATGCCTTGACGTATTTTTGAACCTGCTTTACAAAGATTCTATCACAAATATCGGTGATACTTAAGAGTTACATGATACCTCCCTATCATTACATAAAAACCTTCGAAAATCTAATATCCCAAATACGACCTTCCTCCAGCTAAAACACCTGATAGCAACACGCAAGCATAACACGTACGAACTTAGCGGACATGACAATGTCACAACACCACGCTACGCTCGGCAGCAATGTCGACTTGCACCGCGTGAGACATTCCGAACGCACAACGCTGCTAGTGCTAGTCCGGACAGGCTGGAGGCTACACGGCTATGTGTGGCAGTCGCGGCCACACGTTAACACGCCGCCGCGCAGGCAAACGTGCGACGCGATGGCAGGCAGACTCACGCAACGCGATGGTAGGCAGACTCACACGACGCGATGGTAGGCAGACTCACACGACGTGATGACGGGCGGGCTCGCGAGACTACTTTACGACGACGCTGCACGCCTTACGACAGTTTATCAGCCACTTGATGATTCTCGCATTCTTCTCCACTATCGACGTCTCCGTCCGGCCAAAGTTCGCCAGGTCGCCCTCGCGCAGACCGGCGCCCCCTCGTGGCGTGCCGCCGCCTTCGCGCAGACCGGCGCCCCCTCGCGGCGCGCCGCCGCCCGCGCGCATGCCCGTCTGCGCGTTGTTGGAGTCGACGGAACTGACGCTGTCGAAGAAGACAGAGCTGCGGCTGGCGACCTCCATCACGCCGCGCAGGACCCCGCGCTCAATACCCATCTCGTTGAAGAACCGCTCCACGTCGTCGCCAGAGTGCGCAGCCGGCTGCGTCGCCGCATCGCCACGCTGCTGCGCATTTGCGTGATGCCGCGCGTCAGACGCTGCCACCCCGTGGTCGCCCCCCGGCGCCAAGCGCAGCTGCTGGGAGGCGCTGCGATGATACGGGGGGTCCGTGTGTACCGGCAGGGGCGCCTCACTGGCATGAGGGCGGGGCTGCTGCTGCTGGGAGCTACTGCGACACTGCAGGTCAGACTTTGCCCGCCCAACCGGCTGTCGCTTTATTGTCGATGGCTGGCCGTCGTCCGCGCGTCCGGCAGGGGGCGCCGCCGTCACGGGCGGCGGAGACGCGTCGACCTCCTCGAAGCTGTTCTGCGCGGAGGCGTCGGGGCGGCTGTCGCTCGTGTGCAGCGACGCGTTCGCGCGGTGACTGTACTCGGATATGTCAAGCTCGTCCGTGCTCCCCATCGCGGCAGTGGCGGGGACGGGGGCGCCACAGTCGTCGTG